AAAAAAAAAAAAAAAAAAAAAAAAAAAATCACTGGAATACATGGACACAGAATTCATGATTCTAAATTGATAACTAAAATTTTTACAACCTTCCCCCACATTTTTTTTTTTTTTTTTTGAGACAGGCTCTTTATTACATAGCCCAGGCTGGCCTCAACCTCTTTCCAGGCTGTCTCAACCTCCTGAGTGCTGCAATGCAGGTGTGTGCCAGCACACTTATTACCTAAATCTTTTCTCAGCATTTCCTTAAGGGGTCAGAGGCCTGTGTCTACCCAAGCACAGCCTGCTCCCTTCTCCATGACATACATACCGCAACACTCGCCTCCCCGAGGAGGAGTACTTCTCCTAGCCAGCCTCCTCGTGCTCCAGGCCTCAGCCCCGCGCAGCTCTTACACTCACTGCATCAACTGCACCCGCTCCTCCAGGCTTCCTCTTTCTCGCCACTCTGCTGCTGCTATATGTACACTACCCTGATGGGTTTCTCTGGGCTACAGCAGTCCAGCTTTGAGTGGGCCAGACCTTCCCTGCTGCAACAGCAGGATCCTTCCACAGGACACAGCGCAGGCCGTGCAATGACGGGTTCAGTGAGTAAGATCTACGTGAAGGCTGAGACACCATGGGCTTTGCACTCAGAGAACACTGAGCCCACAGAGCCCTGTGGGGCACAAACTAATCTAAACAGAAAAAGGCCTGCTAAGTCTTCTCTCTCCTGTTGAAGGATCTGCAAAGGTGGAGAATACAAACGACGCCAAAAAACAGGGCATAAATCTCTTGGAGCCCATATACTTTCACCAAATAGCTACCCAAGAAGTGATGGTGTTCAAAGAGGCTTCTGTGCACTTCAAGGGAATAGCCAGCCTCTGCAGTGGCTCAGGTAATTTACTGTTTACTTCCATTAAGAATTCTAGATTTTGGGCCGGGGAGATAGCTCAGTAGAGTAGGTGCTTGCCTGGCAAGCACAAGGTCCTGAGTTCAATCTCCAGTACCGTGAGAAAAAAAAAAAAAAAAAGGAAAAAGAAAGACTAATAATGTATAGCTGATTTTGCACAAAAATAATACATGACTCATTTTTTAATCAGAACCCCCAAATGTATACGTTGATATATATTTAACTTTTAACCCAACAATGCTACTTTAATGAAATCTATTATGGATATATGCAAAGAT